GCCGGTCAGGTGAAGGGAGGAGGAGGAGGAGGAGGGACCCAGTTTTTTATGGTTGGTGCTCCACCCGCTGACCACTACCACCAACCAACCACCACTCTACCACACCACCCAACCAAAATACTAACACGTTCAAACCCAACCATAACACCTATAAGTGGGATGATAAAAAATAAACAGGGCAAACCAGCTTATAAAGGGCACAGCTATCAGGTAGGTGACGCACACACACACACACACCTGGAATACATTACCATACGAGGGGTAAGTATAGAGAGACAGTGTGTGTGTGTGTGTGTGTGTGTGTGTGTGTGTGTGTGTGTGTGTGTGTGTGTGTGTGTTTTCAGTCATTTATGTGGGGTTTCCTCGGCTGTGCATTCCACGTTCTAACAAGTCAACGCTTCCTGCAGGGCGAGTGTGCATTCAGCGTTGTCACATCAGCGGTATTCGGTCAGCGGCGCGGCACCAACTTCGTCAGCGCCTCCTCACCATCAGCCAAAGCGCGAAACTAACTGTGTATAGAAGAGAGACGACGCCTGGGGAGGTCACCAGGCCGGTAGTGGTGACTCTGAACAGGCGGTCCCTCGTGGGTGTGTGTGTGTGTGATGGTGAATTGGTCTAGCCTAGGATGTGTTGAATGGGGGGTCTCTCTCTCTCTCTCTCTCTCTCTCTCTCTCTCCACGAAACATGACAACACGACATACACACATACTACAATCACAAAGACACACAATCACCACAACAAACACACACACATCTCAATCACGACACACACTCACACACAAAGAGTCAATGACCGCCGCCTAGCCAACTGTCCACTTAAGAGGCGGGCGGGCGGGTGAGTGGGCGGGCGGGTTACTGTGCACACCCATCACATTCCACTCGTTTTAACCCATCTCAAAACACACCATCACTCCACGCCAACGCCTCCACAGAGCCCAGGTCAACGCCCCACACCAAGGAGTCGCACCTCAAGGCAGCCCTATCAACGCCATAATCCCCCCATCAACACTTCCTTAACCTCTACCTCTACCCACGCCAACGTTGAAGAGTCCAGCGCCCCTATAAACGTCAACGCCCCATAAGACACCCACTTCAACCCATGTTATTTATCTACATCTATTAGTCTAATCACACCCTATTTTACCTATGTTTTTGTCTACACCTATAACTCAAATCAAACACCCTATTTCTGTATCGTCAACAATTTACCCATGTAATTGTCTCTATGAACGTCGTTAATATTTGTATATAAAGAAGAGAGGATCCAGGAAAGCCTTGAGGTACACCGCTCGTAATGTTCCCCCTCCCTCCCTCCCGTTAATACTGACTGACCCTCTGCTTCCTGCCAATAAAACCATGCCCCTACCTAAACCTATCATGGACCCCCCTCCCCCTTCCCCCACCCAACCCCCTCCCCACCACCTGCCAATGCTGTGTGATTCTTACCTCTCCAGTGTGGGAACCTAACAACAATTGACTAATGTCCAAGTAAATATTATCATAATCGTTACCAATTGACCACCATTGTTCACCGCTTCAGAATATAGCCGTAAATGCTTGGATAGAACCAGATGACATTTGACACACTAACCTAACAATGCCAAACAGACTCCGATAACAACCCCTTGAGTACGATGTTTTAACTTTGCATTCGATTTCCAGTAACTACCCTCGAGCCTATTGAGGTTATATACACTGAAGGGGTTAAGTCATAGGTACTGAAGGGGTTAAGTCACTGTACTGAAGGGGTTAAGTCACTGTACTGAAGGGGTTAAGTCACTGTACTGAAGGGGTTAAGTCATAGGTACTGAAGGGGTTAAGTCACTGTACTGAAGGGGTTAAGTCACTGTACTGAAGGGGTTAAGTCATCACATAGGGTACTGAAGGGGTTAAGTCATAGGTAATAGAGGGTTAAGTCACTGTACTGAAGGGGTTAGTCATAGGTACTGAAGGTTAAGTCATAGGTACTGAAGGGGTTAAGTCTAGGTACTGAAGGGGTTAAGTCATAGGTACTGAAGGGGTTAAGTCATAGGTAATGAAGGGGTTAAGTCACTGTACTGAAGGGGTTAAGTCATAGGTACTGAAGGGGTTAAGTCACTGTACTGAAGGGGTTAAGTCACTGTACTGAAGGGGTTAAGTCATCAATGTCCTCCTCAGTCCCCCCCCTCCCCCCTTTCCAACCCTGTAACAACCCGGACCAAACCAGTAAGAGAGAATCATAAATGCGGGTCAGGGAGTGAAGGAGGACTGACGAAACACACACACACAGCATCAGTATCATGACCAGCCATCGCCACCCCGCCACTGCTTAACAAGGTAAGGTAAAGGGGCGGGGCGGGTCGGGTCGCTTCACCACCACCACCGCCTCCGTCATCGCCTCCGCCGCCGCCGCCCTGGACATTATAGTTTAACTTACGGGTTCTTGACTTGACAGTTCAACCCCCAGCCAGTCAACGACCCCTGCCAGAGCCTTCTCCCTGCCTCACCTACTGTACCGTATACAACACCCTCGGACACCTACACGACACAGTTACACACCCTACAGCCACACCTGCACCACACACCCTACATCCACACCTGCACCACACACCCTACATCTACCATACACCCTACATCCACCATACATCCACCATACAATAAGGGAGAATGTGTGAGAGCGACAGTGAGAGAGTGAGAGCAAGAGAGAGAGAGAGCAGAGGAATAAACAGACAAGTATAGTGACTCAATTTCTGCCCCAGGAAATACTTAATCAAGATGGCCACCAGGCACTTCTCTCTCTCAAGTGTAGCAACATGAATGTGATATTTCCGCGCCGTCCATTTTATAACCACAACAAAAGAGGAGCGCCAATTAAACACCTGTCCATTACCAATTACCAGGTGGACGTATAGCCAATCACGGGTGCTGGGTGGAGAGGGGGCCATGGCTCACCGAGGTGGACTAGGCCGTGCGTGTTGGCGGAGGGGGGGGGAGCTCTGATGGCCAGCTTAGAGGAGGAGGAGGAAGAAGAGGTAAAAGAGGAAGGAGGAAGCCTACGTAGGTGTTCTACCAGATGGGGGAGGGGGTGGGAGGAGGGGTCAATACTATGGATCACCTGTAGATTAGGCACCCCAGCTTATTTTACCTGACGACGAAACAGCCTAATATTAACCTAACCTAATCCAATGTAACCTATAACTTAAAGCTAACCCACCCTAATGCTAACCCAACCTAACCTAACCCCAACCCCAACCCTAACCTAACCTAATCCCCTAAGGTAATCCATCACCGTGTACCAGCGAGTTATTGACAATTTATACCTGAAGATGATGCAAGATACCTGTCGTGAGGCCCCGCACGCCACAGGACAGCCAGCCACTAGCAGAACCTCCTTAACTCTCTCGTTCGAAGCTGTGCTAAACCCGAACGAGATTGTGCAGCGTCATGTATACAGAGTGACGAGCAGTTCGGGGACTCGTTTCGGATTTTCAGACTCATTCCAGCAGTGTAGATTCATTCCAGCAGTTCAGACTCATTCCAGCAGTTCAGAGACTCGTTCCTGCTGTTCAGATGAGGAACAAGACTGGCACAAGGTCAGTCGGTCCACAACTCATCAACACGAAGTACAATTGTATTATCAAGCCAAATGCTGTGTGTGTGTGTGTGTGTGTGTGTGTGTGTGTGTGTGTGTGTGTGTGTGAGCATTAGAAAGAGAGTATATGGGGAGAGAGGGAAGGAAGAAGGAAGGGAGGAGAGACGGAGGGAGGGTAATGAAGGGGAGGTGATGGGGGAGGATAAGAGAGGGAGGGAGGATGGGAGAGAGGAGGGAGGGAGGGAGGGAGATAGGAGGGAAGAAGAGGGGTCGGGGAGGGAGGTAGTGTGGGAGGGAGGGAGAGAAAACCGCACGACCCTCACAAGGACACTAGACCATCACCACATTGCAGCCACACGCAACCACAACCCCCATTCCACTCTACCACAGTCCTACCACACTGTACCAGTCCTACCATAGCCCTACCGCACTCTAACCACAGTCCTACCACACACTACCACACTCTACCAGTCCTACCATAGCCCTACCGCACTCTACCACGGTCCTACCACACGCTACCGCACTCTAACATAGTCTTACCACACTCTACCACACACACTACCACTGTCCTACCGCACTCTACCACACACTACCAGTCCCCACCACATTCTTCCACTACGTTCCACACCACACACACACACACACACACACACCTTCCATTAGTAGCCAAGAGAGTACAGTACCATAATCTTCCCAGGGATATAACCCGGGAAAGGAGGAGGTGGAGGAACAGTAGGAGGAGGAGGAAGAAGAGGAAGAGGGGAAGAAGAAGAAATAAAGTCTTCCTGGATAAATACTGGTAGGTGCATAAAGTTCCATCATAACAACCACCACCACCACTACCACGACCCCCACCCACCACTACCTCCACAACACCACGCCACCACCACCATGCCACCATCACCAACCACATCACCCCACCACAACCACCACTACCGACCCCCACCCACCACTACCACCACCACTACCACGACCCCCACCCACCACTACCACCACCACGACCCCACCCACCACTACCACCACCACTACCGACCACCACTACCACGACCCCACCCACCACTACCCCCACCACCACTACCTCAACACCACACCATGCCACCATCACCCCACCACACCCCACCACAACCACACCACCATCCACACACACACACCACCCTCCCCCCTGGCCCCCCACCCCTCTCCTGTACTACCAGCAGCAGCCACAGAGAGGAAGAATACCAGTCCACCAGGAAGTAGAGAAGGGGGGTAGAGAGAGAGGGGGAGGTAGGGAGAGGGCAGTAGAGGTGGAGGGGGGCAGTAGAGAAGGCAGAGAGACGGTGAGAGGACAGGTACACGCTAACCCGACATACCATTCATTACCTTTTGTATTACCATCATCATCAACAGGTGAGAGAGAGAGAGAGAGAGAGAGAGAGAGCACAGTACCCACCTTAAGCCGCCAGTTGTCGCCCACGTCTGGTTTGATCTTGGTCAGCCAGAACTGTGTGAAGTACTCGGGCGCTCTGAAACAACAACAACAACAACGTCACTCCACTGTTTACAGATGACATAGAAGGAGGGAAAAAATTACAAATAAATAAAACAAAAACACGATGGATAATAGTAAATAGTAAATAACAAACTAACTGACGAAAGATAATAGTAAATAATAACAAAAACATGACGAAAGATAATAGTAAATAATAACAAAAACATGACGAAAGATAATAGTAAATAATAACAAAAAAATATGACTTAACATAATAGTAAATAATAACGAAAACATGACGACTGTGAAACGGAAACCAAAACACCACATCTAGCAGTAATCAAATGACTTAACCTAACCTAACAAACCTTAACCTAATACTACTCAGATGACTTTAAAGAGAGGTCAGAGGTTATGATTAGTCACCCTAATCCTAACCTAGCAAAACTTAATCTAATAGGAAAACTTAGCAAAACCTAACCTAACCAACTTATCGTAACCTAACCTAACCTCCCCTAGATAACGTAATGGGTGTTTAATCCTCAAGTGAAATTAACACACACGAAACGACCCACACCTTGGAGTTATAACTTGAAACAAACACACCTTGGAGTTATAACTTGAAACAAACACACCTTGGAGTTATAACTTGAAACAAACACACCTTGGAGTTATAACTTGAAACAAACACACAAACTAGAGTGTCCATGTTCTCTTCTTAGTACCAGAGAGTAGTTGTTGTTGTTGTTGTTTTTTGTTTGTGGCGAATTATAGGAAACATTCTCTCAAGGCGCGTGTGTGGGAGGAAGTGTGTGGTGGGGAGAGTGTGTGTGGGGGAAGGAGTGTGTGGTGGGGAGGAGTGTGTGGTGGGGGAAGGAGTGTGTGGTGAGGAAGGAGGTGTGTGGTGGGGGAGAGTGTGTGGGGAGGAAAAGGTGTGTGAGGGAGGAAAGAGGGAGGCAAAGTGTGAGGGAGGGAAAAGAGTGTGTGAGGGAGAGAGGAGGAAAGAGTGTGTGAGGGGAGAGAGAGAGGGAGAATATGAGGGGCTACAGGTGTGCTGGGAGGAGAGGCGGGGGGGAGGGGTGAGTAAGAGGAGAGATCCAGAGTGTGTGTGTTGGGGGAGAGAGAGAGAGGAGGAGGGGTCTAGGTGTGTTGTTGGAAGGGGGAATGAGTGTTAGAGAGAGAGAGAGAGAGAGAGAGAGCCAACCACAGACAGACAGGTGGATGTACAGAGGCAGGCAAGGATAGGAAGGCACGCAGACAGACAGGAAGGCAAGTGGTGACAGCCCCGAGCGGTGCACATTACTCCTCCTCCACCAATACTTAGTGCTGTACCTCCTCCTCCAACACTCACTACCGTACCTCCTCCTCCAACACTCACTACCGTACCTCCTCCTCCAACACTCACTACCGTACCTCCTCCTCCAACACTCACTACCGTACCTCCTCCTCCAACACTCACTACCGTACCTCCTCCTCCAACACTCACTACCGTACCTCTTTCTCCAACACTCACTACCGTACCTCCTCCTCCAACACTTACTATCGTACCGCTTCCTCCAACACGCTATTACTCCTCCAACTCACCATTATTCCTCCAACAACACATAGTACATCCTCCAACACACACACACACGAGACTCCCTGATACACACAAACATTCCCTCCGCTGATCCAAATCCACACAAAAGACCCCAGATCCACACGTCCTGCAGCTGGGGCCGGCAACCCACACAAGGCCACCTCACCTCAGACCGCCACGGCAGGCAGTGCAACGCTGAAGGTGAAGCGTAAATAATAATAATAATAATAATAATAATAATAATAATAATAATAAAAACAGCAAAAATAAAAACAATAATAACAACAATAGAAATAATAATTAAAAAAAACAATAATAATATTAAATAATATAATAATACATAATAATAATAATAATATAATAAATAACAATAATAAAGACATAACATTTAAAGACCTGTTGAATGAGTGGACAGAAGAGATCAGTGGATATACTTGGACATGATCACCGGTCACCGTGTCTTAGTTAACCCACAAGGGATATGTTTCAGACACTGTTTTGTGGAGGCGTGGGTGGATCAGGCCAAGGTGGATCATAGTGGTAGATCATGATGGTGGATAGTGGTGGTAGTGATGGATTATGATGGTGGTGGTTGATGATGGTGGTGGTAGTAGTGGTAGATCGCAGTGGTGGTAGAGTGGTGGAGTATGGTGGTGACTGAAGAAGAAGCAGTAACCACCACCACCAGCCACAACTTCCGTCTGTGGACGCTGACCCCAGCCCCCGCACGCAGCAACCCCCCCCCCCTCCTCCTCCACACACACCTTACCTCCCCTTGTCCACCACCAATACCTGTCTCTTGAACCACCACCACCAACAGTACTACTACCACCATCACCACCATCAACAACCTCTCACCACCACCACCTGTTATCTCCCTCATCACCACCATCACCAACCTCTCACCACCACCTGTTATCTCCCTCATCACCACCATCACCAACCTCTCACCACCACCTGTTATCTCCCTCATCACCACCATCAACAACCTCTCACCACCACCTGTTATCTCCCTCATCACCACCATCAACAACCACCACAAGATATCGTTTACATGGGTTATTACACGGGTTTCCCCCTCCCTTTAATTAATCACCATTCTTAAGGGTTATTAACACAACAAGTAGCTACCGCCCTCGGCATGCCACATCACCAACCACGACTACCAACACAATACCACTACCACACCACCACCAAAATACCGCTACCACCACGCCACCACAATACCGCTACCACCACACCACCACAATATCGCTACCACCACTAATACCACGCCACCACAATACCGCTACCACCACACCACCACAATATCGCTACCACTAATACCACGCCTACCGCTACCACCACACCACGACTAATACCACACCACAATACCGCTACCACCACACCACCACAATATCGCTACCACCACTAATACCACGCCACCACAATACCGCTACCACCACACCGACTAATACCACACCACCACAATACCGCTACCACCACAATATCGCTACCATCACTAATACCACACCACCACAATACCGCTACCACCACACACGACTAATACCACACCACCACAATTACCACCACACCACCACAATATCGCTACCACGACTAATACCACACCACCACAATACCGCTACCACCACACCACGACTAATACCACACCACCACAATACCGCTACCACCACACCACCACAATATCCGGACGGGAGGGACTAATACCGGACCACCAACTATATAATACAGTACAGGAGGAAGGTGAAGAGGGGGGAGACGGAAGAAGGGAGACGGAAGAAGGGGAGAGGGGGGAGACGGAGAAGGAGGAGGGGAGGAGAGGAGAGAGGGGAGACGGAAGAGGAGGGAGAGAGGAGACGGAAGAGGGGAGGGAGAGGAGGGAGACGGAAGAGGAGGAGAGAGGGAGACGGAAGAGGAGGAGAGGGAGACGGAAGAGGGAGGGAGACGGAGGGAGGAGACGAAGGGAGGAGAGGGAGAGGAGAGGAGGGAAGAGGAGGGAGAGGAGACGGAAGAGGAGGAGAGAGGGAAGAGGAGGGAGAGAGGGAGACGGAGGGGAGACGGAAGAAAGGGGGGACAGCAGAACAAAACAAGAAGAGCCACACAACAGGACTACAGCATTGTCTCCCCTCCTCGGGCCTGGGGTGTGTAAAGAAGTATCACCCCAACTCCCCAACAAGACACCCCCACCACCCCCAACATGACACATTCCACCACCACCACCATAACTCCACACCTGGTAACGGCAGACAGGTATGACTAGACGATGGTGAAAATGGTGGTGGTGATGGGTGGTGATTATGGATGGTGTGGTGATGGTGGTAGGCAGAGTGATGGCCCTAACAAATATCAGTGGTGTAGAGAGAGAGAGAGAGAGAGAGAGAGAGAGAGGAGAGAGAGAGAGAGAGAGGCAGGTGTGGTAGAGACAGGGAGAGCGCCCTTGCCCACGGCTGGTGCACCACAACAACTTATACCCTCGCCCGCTATTCTGCACCCCCCCCCTCCCCACAACATCGCCACAGCTGCCTACAACACACCATAACGCTATATCACAACACCCAGTACTGGTGCTAAGTGAACCGTGTATCTAGTTGTGAGAGAGAGAGAGAGAGAGACCCTCCTCCCCCTACAGAATGTCTCATCTGCCAGCCATACCTCACACGACGTAGCCTGTAGACGTCTTTCTCCCTCTCTCCCTCCTCCTTTCACCGCCTTCTTTCTCCCTCCTTCCAACACCTCCACCCCTCTCTCTCTCTTCCTTCTTCACCATCTCCCCCATTTACCTCTACTTATCTCTCTTTCCCTCTCCCTTCACCACCTCTTCCTCTCCTTCACCACCTCCCCCACCACCAGTGATCGTGTGTTGGAGGCCACGACGCAGTGTTCACCACCAGGTAGGAACAACACACATAGTTTTTTTTTGTTACTCTTATTGGTGGTGTGGCGGCGACCAGACCAGGGAGCCACGCCATACTGCTGCTCTGACCTCGAGTTGTCCAAGCTTCTGACTGACTTACTGACTAACTGATTGGTTGGCTGGCTGACTGATTGACTGACACATCTTGGCCAATATACTGTACCGTACCTGCAACACTTAGCAACACCTATACTGTGTGGGATGTTTAGTCACCTAACTGTATATTCACCTTCTTGTTAAGTCAGTACAGTGCAGGTATGGTGTATGGTGTGGGTATGGTGTGGGTGTGTGTGTGTGTGTGTGAGACCCTAGGCGAGGGAGGAAGCAAGCAAAGCAGGTAGGGCAGGTGAGCTTGATTAGAAGAGTGGGTGTGTGGTGGTGTCCCAGGGGCAATGTAACACGTCCCCCCACCCACACACACACAAGGCATGCAAAGGTTATGTTAGATCCGATGGGTTAGGTTATGTTAGGTTAGGGTTTAGGTTAGGGTTTAGGCTAGGCTAAGGTTTAGTATAGTTTAGTTTTAGGTATAGATCAGGTT